ACGTGAACAGCTTGACGAAAACGTAGGCAGGAGCCAGGACATCGTCGAGGGGCGTCACGTCCAGTCGGCCGAGGAGCAACAGCGACGCGTTCGCATCAAGTAAAGTCCTTTATAGGATCCAAAATTCCCCTCAAGAAACTAATATTTATATTTTCCAGGAATAACCGCACAGCCAAAGACGATCTTCATCTTAGTTTCCATAACTCTAGGACTAATCTAATTAATGACCGCGACGTCTACATGGAGGATGTGATTGAGAACCGCGATCTGGCTGACGATAGGGAGCACATTTCACGGACCAGAGTGAATCGGCAGGAGTACGCCCGGAGGAAGCACTATGACTCGGAGGTTCGCATCGACGATGATTCCATGAGGAGGCATGAGATTGATCGGGGCAGCGACATCGACTTCAATACGGCACAAAATAACAGTCTCAAGAGCAAGCGGGAGTTGTTTATCAAGGATGGCAATGTGGAGATCCTGCAGCTGATGACCAGGGATAAGACCAGGGATGGCCTAAATCTGGACGATGACAATATCTATGTAAATGTGCCCCTGAAACCGGCGGGCAATCTCTCCCATCCACAGCTCCTGATGGTTGATAACACCGGCAAGGAGATCCTGATGCGAAGGTTTATCGAAGAGCAGCCAGATGGCAAGCAAATCATCCGGGAACACTACCAGATCGTTCCCGGTGCCACCTACATTCAATCCATGCCCAATGAGGTGCAGCAGGGATCGACCCTCAAAGGAGACACCTTCCCGTTGGGCAAATCGGGACCAAATAGCATAGTTTACTCTCAACTGGAGCCAGAGGTGAAGGTCATTCACACGCAGCCTGTCCAGGCAACCGAGGGCATGTCCTTGGAGCAGCAGTTGCAGCCAGCAGTGTCCAATCAGTCCCTCACCCATGAGCTGGAGCACTCCCTGAAGCAGCAGAATGCTCTGCTTAGACAGATTCTTCTCGAGAAGGAGAAGCTAGAGAATGCCTACACCCAACACGAGGTGGCTCTGGAAACGCAAAGTCTTCCCGGACAGTCGATGGCTATAGGAACCCAAACGGATTGCGATGCTGGAACCCAGACTGAAGGACTGGATACCTTGGATGCGGATCTTCCTCAGGCGAAGCCCTCTCGCCGGAGAGCACGTAGTGAGAACGATGAGTCCATGTCCGAGGATGGCTACGAGTATGTGCGATTTAATCCACCAAACAGTCCCGAGGGTGTGTACTGGATAAAGCGACGAAGGACAAAGAAGCGCCCGAGGCAGCCGCGGAAAAGAATCGTAATGGTGGAGGAAGTGAAACGTAAGATCCGCACACCTATCAAGGAAGAGGAGGAGCTGCACGAGCGGAAGAAGCGAGTGCCTCCAAAGAAACCCTTAAGGGAAACCAAGACGAGCATCCTGCGCAAGCAACTCAGCGACGAAAGTCGCAAGGATAATGCCAGGAACGGGGAATCACAAACGGGCGGCAGCCGTCATCGTTCCGAAGCCGAAGCCCGCAGCCGTGAGCTGCTCATGGAAATAACCGATTCCATGGATGAGATGGCCAGTCCCGGTTCCCACAGCATCCGAAAAATCCAGGTGGAGAAGTACTACAAGCACTCCGATGGAGACTTTGACGAGGACGACACTGAGTACTCAATCGATTCGGATGGGGATGAGATAGTAATCCGATCGAATTATCCTAGTCGACCACAGGAGAACGAAAGGTATAGAAGAGAGGAAAGAGTCTATGCGGAGCCAGAGGAACCTAAGGGGCACAAAAGACAGAGTCATCAGAGGAAGGCGTCACCCACGGATTCCCAGCCAGAAGCCAAGCCACGGATATCAAGACGTGACAGTTCCAAGCGGAGCTCCCGAAAGCAAACCTCCTCAGAACCTCCGCACAACAGATTGTCCATCTCCAAGTATGAGTCCACAGTCAGCGAGAACGGCAGGAAGCTTACGTCCACCTCCACGGAAATAGTGGGCTCCAAGCGATCCCTCACCGATCGGAGTTACCAGAGTGAGACTGAGTTGGCCGCCCTGGAGCATGAGCACGAACCCGAGCCCGAGGAACGAAATGTACCCAAGTACATGGAGTGGTATTACAACAAGAAGAAGACCTCGGTGAGTGGACGCACCTCCACGGAGTCATCCAAATCCCAGCCATCCAGCAAAAAGAAGGTGGGAGCTGCCGAGAAGCGTGTGTCGAAGACCCGCATAACAGTACATCCCAAGGATTTCGAGGAGGATGATGATGCTGGCGGACGGTACAAGCCAGAGCCCGCTCCCCGGAAATCCCCACCCAAGGGCAGTCGCCTGCTGAAGGAGGACAGGGCTCTGAATAAGCAGCACAAACCAAAAATCAAGACTGATACGAATCATCCGCTCCTGCAACACTCGGAGCATCGATTCGAGCGGGAGAATGCCCTGGAGGTGCCAACTGCACCCACCAAGCTGCCTCACTACATGTATCCAGAGACGCCGCCACATGCGGCTGCAGCCAGCAAAGATGCCACCAAGTCCGCCAAGGAGCTCAAGCCCAAGCCATCGCCCATCAGGGAAAACGAAGTCAAGGTTTCCAACTCAAAGATCTATGTGGAGAATCGTGGAACGGGAAATCTCTCGCAGAAGCAGCTGAATGCCTCGACCCTGGAGGATGATCACGACTCCGGAATTGCCATGAACTCACTGCTCAACAGCCTGGGACGACGGAATCCCATTGCCGAGAAGAAGAGTGTCTTCTCCATCGCCTATGACGATGTCAGCCGGGTGAAGAAGATCAATTCGGGCGGCGAATCGCCGCAGTACTAATATCGATCCACTCCAAAACCCTTCAAAGGAACAATCATATGTGATAGCCAGCCTCCAAGGCTCCCTACCTGCGAATCATCGAACCAATATCTGCAATACTGTATCATATACACCCAAAGCCAGCCTGTTACCCCATTCGTAGTCTACAGGGGGACGTTGAGAAATGTTCACCGTTGAGAATGTGCACCGAAATACATACGTTAGGATCCGGATCCGGATCCGGATCGGATAGCCGCCTTCATAGTAACCATAAGCCGACAGATGTAGTTCAAAGTTTTATATTTAACATAACAACTAGAGTCTAGGAGATGTATTCAAACTCTATCCTATACGCATAATGTAACCGGACCCTATGTACGACCAAAATTGTTAAGGATATTTATACGGTTAATATAACATAGTATATAGTGTGTCTTCTTGTACATATCATGCACAAGTCATTAGCAAGTGCCCTCCTATCAGAAACTTGTGCAAATGTGTATGTACATAAGCTAATGTATACTTTTGCAGTCGAATGAACAAAATGCCTGCCATATTGAAAACACTTGCAAATATAATCTAATGAATCAGTATCGAATTAATGTACATATTATTAAGGATAAGCTTATGCAAATAAAACAAATTAATCCCAATTAAGAAGTTCAAATTTTCTTCAACGGTAAACAAGGGAGATATATCTTTCAGGAAAATAAAATACAAACTATTTAGAAACTTTGTACGAGGAAATATCATAGCGATAATTAAGGCTTTACTTTGCCTTCGAAATACTCCCTGCTGCGACCTCCAAAAAGTAGGCAACATATTTATTCAGCTAACAGGACAAACTGGGAATATTTATTGCCTATAATTGGTTCAAAAGAGCACACACAACATTCTAGGGTTAATGACAGCACATTATTCTTCGCCTCGCTTTCCTTTCCTTTCCCCTCGTTTTCTCACTCAGACTTCTATATGTTTGTATAAGAGCTTAGATGTCGAGGGTAAATAAAATGCGTACAGCATTCACGCTCTCCATATTAATTCTTTAAGCCCAAAAAAAAAAAAAATAAACAAAGAAAGAAAGAAGTTTGACGGCATTACAAACCCTTATACTGGTTCGAGCAAACAAGAGCGAACCGTGAAGATATTAGAGTCAGACTTGAGGTTTCAACTTCAAACCGGGTTTAATTGACGTCACATCGAACTAGGAAAAATGATTAGGGGTAAAGAAAATAAATGTTTGAGAATATTAATTATTAACTTAATTTTTTTAATAGTTTTCTTCATGTTAATATTATTGTCTAATCATTAGACTTCAATTTATCAACAATGATGACTGACTGAGTTTATAGGTTATTAAAAAAAGAAAGGAAACTATTTCCAGGAAGCCCAAGTTGCAGTTTGCAATTGAATTATAGGATCGAATCGGAATTATATTGATATTTATGGATAATCTTTATATGATAATTTCTTCGACAAATCAAAGTTTAAAATACTCATACCTCAGCTAAAACAGCATTAATTTTAATTCGGAAACCATTCCTATGTTAGTTTTTGCTAGTTTAATAAATATGCATACTCAATTTAAGATTTAAAAAAATTCAAAATTTTATCAATTTTTAACAATTTTAACGATGAAACCCCTTTTAAAAATGAGAACAAATTTTAAAAGTTTATTTTTTGTCCGGATATGGTTAAACCGACTCGGCTATTGATGCTGATCAAGAATATATATGATTTATAGGGTCGGAAAAGACTCCTTCACTAAGTTACAAGCTTCCAACTAAATTATAATACCCTGCAAAGGTTTAAATAATATGCCTTCTGTAGGGATTATATAGGAATAATTATTGGCAAGCCTGTAATAACTATAAAAGCTGTAATATATAATCTTAAACTACACTTTCAAAGTCTTAAAACATTATGTAGTTTCTATTTATAAAACTAAAGAGAAATATTATTCAAAAAGTTGGCGCCAAAAAAAGCTTCGAGCCCGCCAACTTGAAAATCGGTCGTATATATGTATATATATCGTGCTGATCAGCTGGTCGAACGCAACACCTCGCAACATCGAGCTCGAACACCAGAACCACTCGAGCCAAGTGTCGACGCTCCTCAAACTCATTCTCTTAGCGAGTGCGGATGTGAGTTGTTTGGTCTTTTCCTGTTTGTTCGAAAATACTCAGTTTATTCAAAACACATTTATTTAATTACAGAGGAAATCGACAAACTTTTACAAAACCCAGCCAAGTGTTTAAAGAAGCAACTGCAAAATGTGCAAGTGTCTAGCCGGAAATGTGGCCTGCTGGTGAGTTCAATTAATTGGTTGAGCATCATTAAACTTCAGAATGTAAAGTACAAAAGATGCGTATATACATTCGTATAATATATTATATTAAAGCGGACCGTAACCGAACATAAATAGATCGGGACTCGTGAGTAAGACAGCTCCGGCCAGATAAGAAAGTGTGCAACCACCTGATAACTCTATTTAGCTTCTATTTAAATATATATAAAGCCAAGTGCGGCAAGATCTCTGGGTACACACCCAATAAAGTTCCCTAGGGAGCTGCTTCTGTGTATAGTACTTTTCTCTATATTTATATACATATATATTAATATCGTTGTAAAGAGAGCATTGTAAATTTAAAGCGGAAGCAGAACTGTGAGAAAACTGGAAATACGCTGTGCAAAATTCTCGCTTGAATCTCATACATATCGGTAGGTAGGGAGCGATACAGGTTTCCATATCAAAACAATGAGAGCACAGGTAAACAAACTGCATGAGAATCCGTGCTGAGAAGCATTTTACCTGAAAGAGTTTCCACTTTCGATGCGGTTCAACTGTATGGGTAAAATGTATCATCGCTTAAGCTGGCAGAATAAATTACTTAATTGTCTGCGGTATCATACGCACACTGACTGCGATAGAACATAGTATATATTTGTACATGACATGCAACGTGGATTCCTATGAAGTCTACTACTTATTATTCCAACTCACGCTTCCCTAAGGCACTCAATTATATATGTATGTGGCGGTTCATATTCGCGCACAGTGGCCACAATTGAAAGAACCGCATATTTGCGTATCTATTAGATACAAAACAGCGATGAGGGCATGTTGGAAAGAACGCTGTTTGCGACGCGTCGCATTAGTTCCTTTATTTGTGTACCAGCTGGCTCCAGAAGGTCCTGGCTCCGCTGAGGCGAGACGGAATTATTCCTTGAATACACATATCTACCCCCAGGAATCTCCCCTCTCTTCCGCCATCCGGTGCTTTTGGCCAACAACAAGAGTTCGTCGTCAGTCTGTCGCCGGTTTCGCATTTCCGTTGGAATGATATGACATGCCAGCTCTTGGCCCTGAGAACATAGTTGGTAACTAACTGGCTTCTAGCTACTGACGGGGTGGAAATTTAATTACGAGTATTATTTGGGGTGCATTTTTATGAGACCCAACATTTCATGCGTAATTAATTTAGAGGTCTTGCATCATTCGGATGTTATACTTTCCCTTTTCTATTGTCATGAAAAATGATACTAATGACCAGTTCAAAATTAATTGTGAGGAAATTTATTAGGAGTTTGTTGCTCTATTTAAAATTATAAATGAGAATGAGCGATGCCAAATACCGCTTTACCATCTGCAGAGGATGATCTCATTGGAACGCAATTTATTTCCACACTCTTGAAAGAATTTATTTCAATCTGAGAATGCAAAACTAAATGAAAACTTTTATTTATCTTGGACTTGCTTTAATTTTAGCTGCTTCAACTGTGCCCTAAGTGTGCTTATTTCAATCATCAGTACCTTCTTGGTGGTCATCATAGTGGTCGGTTTGGCCGTCTACTTTATTTATTACTACGAGAAGGAGGACGATGTCACCAAGCTCACGAACAAAGTAACCGACAACATCCAGTCTGGATTTGATAAATAAAAGATGCCCTAAGCAAATAAGAAAAACTAATACGGTAATATACTAATTAACCAACCAACTAATTAATATATTAATGAGCCATTACTTTCAGATAAGTTTACATCCATAAATGTTCCAAGCTATGCATGATTCCATCGATCCAGATTAAATGCCACCAATTTACATAAACAAACACCGCCGGAGCCTTGAAGAGGACGATAATTGTTACAACTTTTCCAGTACAAGTACAAATAAAATGTTACAACACCCTCTTAATTCTAAATATTAATGTGAATCTCCAACTAAAACAGAATGTTCCAACGCAAAACAATTTTACAATTAAACTATTTATGATATTTAAATACAAAACATACAACTTTAAATTCTGCCAAGGTTTTGTTTAATAAAAAAAATTTGAATAAACAACTTGCATAGAAAATCTATCTTTCTTCTAGCAAAGGGAGAGATTAAAGCACTTTCTTGGGAATTAATTGTGTAAGTAAACTGACCTTTCCGATAAGCGGAAGTCAAGCCATAGTGGTTTCCTAATAAACAATATATATTTGAATTTCTTAGGTGCTCATTCAATAAACACACATCTGCTTATCTTACTATTAATTTACAGCCTCATGGCTACTTACAAAATGTGTAAACAAAGCCCCTGTTTATGTAAACCATTCTTTACCCATGTCCGACAAGATAAGAGAGGAAAAAGTATACAAAGAAAATTAATTTAATATTTCCAGACATCAAGCTCTGCAACGTCGGATACTCTCGGCGGCCCTTCAATGCCGAAGATGTTACCTCCTCGTTCGGACAATCTCCAATAAAATCGATATATTCAGAGCCATTTTGAAGGCATCGACTCGATGAACTTCTACCAGGCTCCCATAAAGCACAGAAACACTGCCAATTGTTCGACGACTTCGATTGGATCCAAATCAGCCCCTTCATCGCTCCGAAATGGAAACTCAACACGACGGAACGGGGGAGTGGGAAATTCAACATGGTGGAGCAATGGAGCAACATGGAGGGGAAATGAGAGCTTATGACAAAGGATAGATACTTTTCACGCTTTTCCACCGGAGTGGCAACAGACAAAATAAACCGGTTAAATTTAAATGAACAAAAGGACCTTTGAAAAAAGGAACATTTTAAATAAATTTTTTTTAAAGGTTCCAATAAAATAAATAACAATTTTAAATTAAAAGTGTGGCCGAATAGTTGGAATATAATTTTCCTAAGTTAAAAAAACGCTTTAAAAACATTTAGTTGAAATACTAAAATCAAAATCCAGCAAAACCGGCTGATAAAAATAAATGTAAACAAATTCTTAAAAAAAAAAATGAAATGAATCGATCTGAGGTAGACTTCCAGGATGACTACGAACACCCAGAGGGTATAGAGTACATATTGGAATCGGTATTAATGCCCAACGATGGAAGTGTGGAGTTTCAACGCCTGGAAGAGGAGTACAATTCCGTGCTCCTGAATCCTGCGACAGTAAAGAAACCTGTTCACATGGCGGTCAGTACAAGTACAGCCCAGATGGAAAGGAGTTGCTCCTTTGGAACAGCGAGCACTATCCCAAACCAGTCATCGAATGCAATCCCTTATGCGAGTGTAGTAAAAACTCCTGTTCCAATCGTCTCGTGCAATATGGACCAAGAAGGAATCTGGAAGTCTTTGATTCTCCGATTTACGAATCCAAAGGACTACGAAGTGGAGTAAATATTCCTAGCGGGGCCTTTATCAGCGAATATGCCGGCGAACTATTAACCACAGTCGAAGCAAAACGACGTCTGGAAGCAAATGAGGCACTCGGCCTTATGAACTATATCCTGGTCCTAAATGAATACTCCAGCGATGAGAAGCAACAGGTGACTATTGTGGACCCCTCTCGTCGCGGGAACATTGGACGCTATCTAAACCACAGCTGTGAACCCAACTGCCATATAGCAGCGGTACGAATAGATTGTCCCATACCGAAAATAGGTGAGTTTATTTAGTTTTTCTCCAATTACTGGATTAAGCGTTTCCCAAATCAACAGGCATCTTTGCTACCCGCGATATTAAGGCCCAGGAGGAGTTGTGCTTTCATTACGGAGGAGAGGGGCAGTATATGAAAACGAAAAATGGAAAGACTTGCCTTTGCTCTGCTCCAAATTGCACGGGTTACATGCCAAACACTGCAATTGATTAAGAAATACGTTAAACAAAGTTAAAGAATGATAAAGACAATAAGTTACCTCTCATAGTTTGTTGGGCACTTGATCCTCTGGCAGCTTCTCTTTTATCCATTTATCCAGATCCGTAAGGGATGCAGTTTTCAGTTCATGCAGTGTGTTTTTCAGCGGATGGAATGTGCCCTCTACGCCGAGATTTTTCAGATTATCGAAAGTCTCCATACCCCAGTCTGGAGGTACAAGCGTATCCCGCTCTCCGTGAAACATGCGCAGCTCGGGCAATGCACTGCCTTCCGGGCGATCTTGCAGGGACTCGTACACAACAGATCCGCGATTGAGGAAGGAAGAATGGGCAAAAACACCAGCCAATTCGGGTTTCAGATGATAGCCCGTATGCAGGGCCACGGCTCCGCCCATGGAGAAGCCTCCCACAACGATCCTGTTCAGTGGTATCCCGCTGGCCACCTCATCCTCGATCAGCTGATTGATGGAATCATAGCACTGCGACATGCTCCTCTTGTGTTCTCCGGCGGCTATGTTGATGGACTTGCGATCGAACCAAACGTTGGACAACTCACCGTCCATCGGGGTGTACTTTTGGAGCGGTGCGGTAGGATAAATGATTTTGATGTGCGGATACTCCAGATTCCGGCCGAGCACGAAGCGCACCCATTCCAAGACTCCGGGGCCAGTGTCCCCTGATCCGTGGAAGAATATCACAGAGGCGGTGTGTCTTCCAGTGGCATTTACCGTCTTCAAGGCCAGTTTCATCTTTAATTCACCTTTGGAGCTTTCAATATTACACGAAACCGAATAAATAATAATATCAAAGGGCATTAGTGTGACCAGATGGGAAAAATCTTGAAGCTATAGAATTTCTAACTTTGTTTAGCATTTTTCTACTATGTATACAAAGCTATTTTCTTTGATTAAATTAATACTTTAATTTCATTTGTTAAATAAGGTATATTTTCTAAGTTTAGATGTGATTTATTTTTATTTTTAAATATATTTCAACTATCTGGCAGCGCTCTAAGTCACACATGTAAACACGTTCGCGTTTTCCAACACAGTTCCGTTTACCTGAAAGTGAAGAAGAAAAATCGGAGTGGCAAGTGGCAAAAATAAATAAATAAAGTTGTGAGTAGCTATAAATAAAGCATATAAAGTGCAATCTAAATAGTTTAATGTAAATACGGCAAGTTAACTTAACAATTTCAAAGTTTTTTGTGACCTGAAGGCCAATATTTACCTGCAAATGTGCGTGCATTTATCGTTAATCTTCGAGTGAAAACTTCAATGAAACAAAGGGCCATTTACGTTGCACTTCCCAGTCTATATACTTGGTTTTAGGGCTGCGATTGTGAAAGCACTTACAAATCTTGAAATGTGTGGCGAAACAGTGTAAATATTGAGGCTGGAAATTGCGCAAATCTTTTGCAACAAAGTATCTGTTGGCCTTCCTGCTTCCCATTTATGTATCAGCTGTTCCGCACATGGTGTGAGAATCCCTAAATATGTACATATGTACAAATGTACATGTGGCTGTGAATATGTAAATAGTCGTGTATATAGAAATGATTACAAGTGGGAGCGAGACAAAAAGTTGACTGTGTAAGTGAGTAATATTTGTTTATGCTGGATGCAAAGTTCAACGGTACCTTCACCCGCACTCACACACGGCCGCTCGCCGATTACGCTATTTGTTTTCACCTACACAAAACCATTCAAATGTGTGAATACATTGCGAACGTGTAAGGTTTTGCCTCCTCAGCGTGATTCGGCAATATTCCGCCCAGTTTCTGCCTTTATCATTCCATTCCATTCCCACAAAGTCAGCGTCACTTTACGCGGAAATTTTAAAACCGCAAAGTGTGTGATAAAGAAAAGAGGGAATTTGGTAATTCCGCGGCTTGAGTCTCGCTGAAGCGCGTAAAGATAGATTTACAAGACTGCGGCTTTCGGGGGAAACCCCCGATCAGTGTTATCAGCGCAGCTGTGTTTTCAAGTTAAATACAATGTTATCAACTTGTAGATTGAGATACAAAAAACCTAGAGATAAATCTACGATAAATATAGTTGGGCTTTATAAATCAAACACATTGATAACATTTTTAGGATATCTTTTTTTAAAAACTTGTTTTTTATATACCCTTGTAGGGTTTTATAATTTTAGTCAAATGCTTGTATTGTATTTCCGACCCCAGAAATCATAAATATGTACATATTTTTCATCAGCATCTATAACAGACTCGATCTAGACAAGTCTGGCAATTCATTTGCAAACTGCAGGGGATATAAATTTGAATTATTTTTTAATCCTCTTTTAATCAGTATTTAAATTTTTAAATTTTTATTTTATTCAAATTAACATATATAGTAAATCTTTTCAAATATTTATATATAATCTTTATATTTTCACTCTTATTCGTAAATTATGAGTTATCATTACGTTGTCAGGTAGGAATTGATTTGGTAAATCGATTATCAATTTATAAGTGTAAAAAGTGGGTGTGTTTTACGACCAATAGTGCCATAAACTTGTGAAATCCAACCATGATAAGTTCAAATTTACTGACTCAAAATGCTAGGTAACGATGATTAATCAGATTTATATTTATACAGTGACACCACTTTTAGGGTGTCAGATAATATCCCAAAAATATTAACGAAAATAATTCGTTTCATTCGATTTCTGAGTAATTTAAATCACAAAATTCTTCTAATAAAATATTTGGAATATGCAAAATGTATTTAATGTTGAAATACTTAATCTAATAAGAATATTTTCTATAAATATGAAATAATTGCGGCTAAAACACGACCTGGAAAATTCCAAAAAACACTTCTGATTATAAGCTGGATGACTGAGCAAATGTACATCGCACATTAACATATAGAGTGCTTAATTTTATTATTATTTCTTCTATTGAGCTGTTTATTTCGATGGACTTTGAACATGTTAAAGCTACACTTTCAAATGAAACGAAATTCCGGGAGGCTTGAATGACGTGCAAACAATATTTTTTGGAAACTAAAATTATCAGTATTATAGTTATGGAAATTCTAATTTTTCCAAAAAGCTGCTGAGCCGGTTATCCAATTCCCACAATGAGGGGAAAATCATCGCAGCGTTTTGTTTACAAAAAAAATCACCAAGTTGTGAACATCATCGTTACCTGGCTTGAAAAGCGCTCGTAAAACATTCGTTCATTCATGGTATGACTTTTTATCGCCCCGAAAAAGAAGGAGTATGTTCACCTGTAAGCGGCAAGGGTGCCGAAGAGCCGAGTCACATGTAAGCATGATAACGCTGTTCATAACGCAACTCTCGCCCACAAGCCATCTGAGAGATAAGTCGTCCGCTCCATAGTGCTGCTCTGGGCCCGGCAGTGGCTCCCAATGGGTGAACGGACCACCGCCTGGCAGTCAGTTGACGGGCTCTCTCCACGGCGCACGCATGATCGCCGGACCGGATTTACGGCGCAGCAGCTGATCGCTCGCTTTCGATTTCCCAGTGTGTCTTTGTTCCACTTTGTTTGGAATTATCTGGCGCGGAGTGTGTGTCCATAAGCACGTCCATATACGGGGCAAATACCCGTAATTGTTATTGTTACAAACATTATCTCTTGTGGAGTGAATTTTATAAAGAAAACATTAAAAGGAATCGTGAAAATGGCAACTCAAATGCAAACTCAAATGCAGTATGAGAGTCATATCTCATCGCCAACATATCAAATGAATAGTCGTCTTCAAGAAGGTTGGTTTTCTTTATATTCCTGCAGGGGTTTTTATACCCTTGCCAGGGTATTATAATTCTAGTCAGAATCTTGTATCGATGTGAAGGAGTCATTTCCGACCCTATAAATCATATATATTCTTGATCAGCATGAAAAGCCGAGTCGATCTAGCCATCTTCGAACGAAAAGAAAAATTTACCAATTTACCATCGTTAAAAATATAAAAAAATTGCAAAAAAAATAAAATTTAACAGAGTATGCAGATTTATTATTCTAACAAAAACTGGCATAGGACTGCTTTCCGATTTAAAATTAATGAATTTTTGACTTAGTTATTGATTTCTTAAAACTTTGATTTGTCAAAACAGTCGTCATATAAACCATAAATAAATATTCGATTCGATCCTATTATTTTAATGCAAATTGCTAGGATATATAAATGCTTCCTAAAGTTAGTTTTCCTTTTTTTAATTAATCTGTTAAGGTTTTATATTCGGTTAAAAGAGACTGCCTGATAATATATTATGTTCCAGTATTTAATACAGTTTTTCTTCAGTTTAAAATAGTTTTCCATTTCTTTAACCTTTTCATGTTGATTAGTAAAACACCTGAGTGTAATTATTGCATTCTTAAAAAGTTCTATGTAACTTTTCTACACCTTTAACATAATTAAAGGTACTTAAAAAAAAACAGTGTGGTAATTAATAGGTTAAAATCTGCTTAGAACAGTTGCCCTTAAGCTCCCAGAAGGTTAAGGTCTTTTTTTTTCGATCTTTACGTTGGGTCTACAGTTCAATTCGCAACAAGTTTGCCAGATAATTTCGTTACTCGCGCTTTTGGGAGAAAAAAACCACTGATCATGACTGTGCACAATGCGAATCAAGTTCTCTGGCCGCTTCCACAGTCTAAAACAGCCCACAATGATTGGCGAAAATGTTTGAAATGTTTCTAGATTGTTGTACAGTGAACTCGCTCGAAGTGGAACGTGAGGTGTTAAGAATAATTAAGGGAAAGGAAAGGTTTATATAAGTTTTATATACATAATTGCCACTTGACGCTCGTGAATTAATTTGTATTTTTCTTGTTAGTTGAATGTGGCTTTTTATATTCAGATAACAGATATCAGTAGGGAGAAACTAGTTTTGCGTTGACAATAAAAAATCCGGTTGTACTTTCCAGTAGCTGATCAAATAATATTCATCAAAGGGTAAACAGTAATAATAAATTATAATATTTACTTACTAGTTTTTAATAAATATAAACCAACTAATCTAGTTCTAGAAAGTATTCAAAGATTTGTTTTCTCGTATCTCTTCGCTTAGCTATCTTAGATATGCATAGAATACTACGTCATTTCAAACATGGTGGCTTTGGTCTTGGAAGTGCCTTCTTGTATTTGTTTATATTTTTGCAAATTCATACCAGATTAGATAACTTAATAGAATATATAGACTTAACTGATTGGCGATCTATTTGCGATGAATGGGGTACAAGGGTTATAGGGCTGGCTTTTGAAGTGTCGTGGTTACGAAAACTATTGGGAAAAATATGTGCATTAAGCTCAATGATTAAAGCTCATTAGCACAATGTTGTAGCATATAATTGAATGAATATTCAGTGAACTGACAAATAGTCATGGTATTTAATTATAAATACACATTTAATGCCGTATATATTACCTGTTTAATATAGTACTTCATCAAAAATTAACCTACTTCCCTTTTCCCATAGAGGCTGAGATGAACAACCATGCAGAAAGTTGTTCCACCTCGTCGTTCGGGCGGTGCGGATCGACGCACTCGCAGATCGATGACCACGATGCCACGGATGATGACATGACCTTCTGCATGTCCAATTACGCCAAGGAGGCCTTGAAGATGATGTTCATGATGCGATCCCACGGCATGCTCACGGATGTGGTGCTCGAGGTGAAAAAGGAGCTCTTCCCCGCTCACAAGGTTGTGCTGTCCGCAGCGTCGCCATACTTCAAGGCCATGTTCACGGGCGGACTTAAGGAATCAGAGATGTCGCGCGTCCAGCTGCAGGGGGTAAGTAGAGCTCAAGCGACGCCCTCAATTGGTTGGTTTAATGGATGAACAGTTCGTCCGTTTC